GTGGAGGAAAATTACTAGAATAATTAGAACTTTGAGGATCGAACATCAAACATTCAGCAACTTGACTTTGTTTATTAAAAGCAGCATCCTGATCATCCCATCCAGTAGGGATGATTTTTACAAGATTCTGAAGATTCAGAGAATTTTTGTTTTTGACTGTCATAGGTTACGTAATAATCCCACTTGCCTGAACTTTCACCAAGAAGTCCAACTTTTGGATCTCCATTAAGAAATTTTTCATGAAGCTTTTGCTGAGAAGATTTTTTCTTTTTATTTTTCTGTTTTGACTTTTCATCAAAATCTTCTTCAGTTTGGAGACATGTAGAACAGTTACAACAATCAAACCAATTGTGACCGTCATAGGTCTTTTGTTCATAAATAGGATTTCTATATTTGTCAAAAGCAACCACTGGTACTTTTCAAGAAGACCTTGAAACTATGTAGGGAATATTTCCCTGGTTTGAGAATCATTATCCTTTGAAGACTAAAAATTGATTTGAACCATTCCATCTGGCATCCTCGTCATTCTGGATTCAGACTGTATCACATACTGACATTGGGTTTGTAGGTTTTCATAGTTGGTAACCCAAGTGGATGGAATTAACTCAAGCAATCTTTCCATTAATATCTGTCTCGGGATATAATAGCCAATAGGTTGGGAGTTATTATCAACTTTAATGAATAAGGCAGTGTTTTCACATTTAGGGGGTAAGGGTGTGATAATAACGAAAGCATGATTCCGAAGCCTATACACCATTTGATAATGGAGTGTGGCTACAGAAGAAGTTTCAATTTGTCTGGTTCCTGTGATCTGGAGTTGAACTTTAAAAGCAGAGCTCAAATGGGGATCTTTAACAGGAATATTAAAGTCAGGAAAGAAGGTAACAAAGATGGTACCAGCATTTAAGGTAGGATTGTACCGATGCAGGCATGCTGATATTCTCAAAACCTGGTATCTAACAAAGCTATTCTAGTTACTGCTTCCATTCCTTTTTTACCATGAAAGGTAAGGGCTAGTTTAATGGCTGCAAAATGGATATGGGTATATCCTTTTTTAAGCCATTGTGGAAAAAGGTTTATAGGGAGGGTAATGGTAACATATTGCTCAGCTTGAGTAGCAGGAATGTGGTATTGGTCAAAAGAAGAGGCTTGAACATATTCTTTGATGCCTTATGGATTCTTTTTCCCACAAAGTTTCTTGATTCATTTAGTCCAATTCAAACTTGATTTATCATAAACGTGATAAGGATTGATCAATTGAGAACAGGTTTCAAAAAACTTTTCAGGTGTATATGTTATTTCAAAAAGATGTTCCTGTTTTGAAAACATGGGTCCTAAATCAGGGGAAGAAGAAGAAGGAAAATCAACAGAAGTATCAGAAATACTATCATCTGCCATTTTTTAAAATTATTGTACAGAGTTGACTGTTAAAAAATACAAATAGGTTTAAGGCCAACTTTCCTTCTCAGGTTTATAAAGTATGAACTCCACTCCAGGCCTCTTGCCGATTTCAGAGTTCCTGTTAAATAAACCTCAGAAAGTATTGACAATGAAATATAAACTTCACTTTAATAAATTAACCTTTAATTCGTATTCTGTTTTCTGATGCGAGAGATCGTAGACCAGCTTCGCAGACGCAGAGCATACTAATCCGAATACGGACTATAGATTAATCCAGCCAATAGTGTACTAAAATAATCTCAACAGCATAATCCAGGCTCTGATACCAATATAAATGTGCATAAACAAATAATCTAAAATAATCTAAACAGACAAAAGAATACTAAACATGCACACCGGAATTTACAAGATCATACAAAGGGATGCAAAGATCTTCCAAGCATAAAGGCACATTACAGCGGAAAACAGAAGCAAGGAAGAAAGCTAGGCAGGAAGTAAAGAAGTGAAGCACACCAAAGAAAACTAAGGCTGAGAGGCTCTAGAAGCACTCTAGCCATTACAAATACCATGAAGAGGTATTTATAGACCCCAGACATGAAAGGCGGATTCTAAAACAAATATAAAAAGTACAGTTGGCCTGGACAGGTGGCCTTATGTACAGTGAAAAGTTGATCTACAGTGGTCGGTGGCCGACAAATAGTGTAAGGTGTCCCAACATGATCAGTAAAAAGCTGATGAACAGTGCCAAGTGTCCCGACATGAACAGTAAAAAGTTGATGAACAGTGCCTACTGACAAAATAGTGAGCTACAGTGTCTGCCGACAAAATAGTGAGTTACAGTGTCTGCCGACAAAATAGTGAGCTACAGTGTCTTGCGGCCTCAGTCTGGTACGGCTTCAAGGAAGAGTGCGGCCTCAATCTAGTATGGCTTCAAGGATGAGTGCGGCCTCAATCTGTGTCAGGGTAGAGATCATAAGGGTATCCATCCGAATCATAACTTGATGATGAGGGAGGGCTATGGGATGGTCCAGTATATGAGTCATCACTTGAATTGTCTTCTGGTTCTGCAGGAGGAGGGTGGTCTACAAGCCATAAATGAAGCTGATGGAGTAAAGCTGCTTCTCTGGGTGTATCATCAGCCCATATTGTATTTCCCGTATAAACATCTACAGGAATCCATTCTGGCTGGGTTCTGTTAATATAACACATGATGATCTTTAATTCTTTCCATAACTCAGTCTGAAATAGCCATAAACTTAAAAAATTAGAATCATACCATCCAATGGTTTCAATAATGGGATGTTGGGTGATGTAAGTATGTTCAGAATAAACTTGGGGATTGAGATCTTGGTGGAAGGCTATAATGATATAAGGTTTATGAGGATGTCCAAATGATTCAAACCACTAGTTATAATGGTATTGCTTTATAAGAAATTTATAAAAGTTTAAGGCTCGAGGATTGGGATATTGGTAATTATTCTATTGTAGGAAATGACAATGTCTAAGGTAGGATAAGAGTTTTCTTACATGAAAGTTAAAACATATGTGGTGGTTTTGGGTAAGATACCAAAGAAAGCAAATAACTTCTTTTAGCATATTGTAGTAATGTCTAGTCTGGAATAAGGATAGGAATGGATAGTTTGGATGGCATCGAATTCCTTGAAAACAATCTCCATGGTTTCTTAATACTGTTTTATGCATTTTTTGTTGCATTAGATTATTCCTTGAATCCATAGTTTTCCTAAGGATTACTTCATAAATTTCATCAGGGAGATCTTGTTGATTGTCATCAATGCTGATAATGGCACCCAAAAAAGGAATTATTGGGAGAAGCTGCTGGTCTGAAAACTTTTTCCTTGAAAACATGTCTGCTAAAACATTGCTTTTCCCAGAGATATGTTTGTATTCAAAATTCCATTGGGAAAACCAATTTAACCATCTCAGTAACTGAGGATTTTGAAGTATTTTATTTTTGAATTTTAACATGTTTGGGAAAGCAGATAAATCAATTTCTACAAGAAAATTGCGCCCAATAAGATGAAATTGGAACTTCTCAATTCATCGTTTGACAGCCAGTACTTCTTTAAAAGTAGAATGGTAATGCATTTCTGATTCTTTAAATTTTCCACTTTTATAGCCACAAATCATTCTGTCTTTTCCATTCTGCTCAAGTAAAATACATGCCCAAAATTCATCTGATGCGTCAGTTTGTAAAACTCTTTTTCCATTGAAAGGGATTTTCAAAGAAGGCAAATTTCTATATAATCTTTTGAGCTCCTAAACACATTCAGTCTGTTTTTGTTTCCATGGTGGTGCTTTTTTCTTTAACAGAAGATAAAGGAAACTGGTAAACAAAGAAAATTTAGGAATAAAAAGGGACATATAATTTACAATGCCTAGGAATTGTTGGATTTGCTTTACAGATGTCAAAGTATCAGGAAAATCTAAAAGATGTTTAGCTATATAGGGTTGTAATCTGTACATACCATTATGGAAATGCAAAAATGTGCTCGCTTGGGTTTGGAATTTATGACAGATTTTGTATGATATGTGGCTTGAAAAACCAAAAATATGGCAATAGTCCCCAATTGGGTTTGGGACTTACGATAGGTTTTTTACAAAAGCATTCTTTTAACATGTGGGTACCTAGCATGTTATTTACATAGGCATTCTTTTACCAGGGGCATTCTTTAAACATGTGAGCACCTAGTATGCCACTCACATGTTTATTATGGTAATTTTGCAAATATTCCTACTAAAGGGATATACATTTCTCGATTTGTTTCAATTCTCAAATTAACACTCTGGACCAGCTCTAAGTCAAATAAGCGGCCACCTGACAATATCTATTTAAAAATCTACTGTCCATATTTCACTCCTTATAATTCATTTCACCAGCATGAACTTGCACTATAATGAAATAGAAGCGTCTCAATGAAATAGAAGCCCTCAATGAAGCGTTCAATGAAATAGAAGCCCTCAATGAAATAGAAGCATCTCAATAAAGCCCTCAATGAAATAGCGGCCCTCAATGAAGATCTCAATGAAGAAGAAGCCCTCAATGAAGACGAAGCCCTCAATGAAGAAGCAGCCCTTAATGAAGAAGCCCTCAATGAATAAGCCCTCAATTAAGATCTCAATGAAATAGAAGCCCTAAATGAAGATCTAAATGAAGTAGAGGCCCTCAATGAAATAGAAGCGGATCAATGAAGCTCTCAATAAAGCGTCTCAATGAAGCCCTTAATGAAGCCCTCAATGAAGCGTCTCAATGAAGCCCTCAATGACCACTATAAGAATAGAAGCGTCTCAATGAAGGCTGAAGTATATACGACTATATAGAAAATTTACAACACAATTTTGAATAGCAATGACTGAAAAGACATCTATCCCTTGCAACAGTAAGAAAGAATGGCATGCTTTCACATGCCTGAATTTCAGCTTTTATAGAACATTTTTTTTATAGCCCTCAATAAATGGCACAATCGCATTGGCCATAGTTCAAATGATCAACCCACCCATTTAAATAAATTATTGATGCTTGAACTCTCGCTCGCTATCAACACACAATAAAAAATCAATACATAATGTCCTTGAGATAATATCCTTGAATTGGAGTTGCATGGCAAATAATATATGTTTACATTACCAAAAGAACCCTTTTGTTACTTTCAATTACAACATTTTCCATAAAAAGAGAATAAGTTGAATTCTACGTCAGAAATAATTACATTAGTAAAAAAGCAACCCTTAGTAAAAAAGCAATTCCAAGTCAAAAAGTATCACATGTTTCTAATCAGAACTATAAAAATAAAAAAAATGAGTGCAAGCAAGCACACATTTATTATACACAAAAAATACAAAAATTATTGTAAATACCCAAAGGCACCGAGTAAGAATTGATGCGTGCGCTCTATGGCAACGAGTATCGTATCATTGCCAACACTTGTTTCTTGATTGAGCATGACACGTTCTTCTGATTCTTGCATTAGATTCCACTATCGTGTATTGCATCGTCTTAAATTGAAATTTTCCACGACGGTATTATATTCATCACACCATTGGAAAAACCCACATATAGAACATTTATAGTACATCATGTTCAGGTTATTTTGGCTTGCTGACGGTTTTTTAGCACAATCTATACTGCACTTTGGGCATCATCGAGTTGTATATCCTCAATTACTTGTAGAATCAAATGACATTGTTAGGGCCTACAATAATCGTATCAGTACCACACTATAAATGACTAAATAAGTACGTATTTCAAGCACATCATAACATTCATTGCAAATATGTCAATAATAATTTTAACAATGACCACAACAGTAACAACAACCATCACCACCTCTATGATGAAGCCCATAACTCTCCACAGAGCAACATCAATTCCACCCTGTTTGAACCATTAACAAACCAAAATGCTTGATGATTGCAAGTAAACAAACCTAATGAAAAAAAATCAATCACTTAACGGAGCAACATCAATGGATGCCACTCGACAATTTTAAAACAAAAAATCTCAAAATTAGGACTTCACAGAGCAACATGAATTCCACCCTGTTTGAACCAGTAACAAACCAAAATGCTTGATCATTGAAAGTAAACAAACCTAATGAAAAAAAATCAATCACTTAACAGAGCAACATCAATGGATGCCACTCGACAATTTTAAAACAAAAATTCTCCAAATTAGGATTTCACATAGCAACATCAATTCCACCCTATTTGAACTAGTGAC